ACAAGAATATTTAAGAAAAGTAAATGATATAATAGAGGGTAAAATAGGAAAAATAATTTAAAAAAATACTAAAATCAAAATAATATGAATCATTCATTTCAATCAACAATTACACCAACATTTTTTATTTTTGGGTCTAACTTTATTGGCTCTTATTAGATTTGTGTTTGTAGATGTAGAATTTTAGATGGTAGATATCTTATGAAGTTTTCAAGAAATTCGTTGAGATTTTAGTTTGTACAGCAAAAATCACTCAAAATTAAATCTTTTTTTCTTGAAAGTTACTGGTTCTATTACATTGTAGTATCTGTTCATATATTTTCTCAACCTACTGAAACACAAAGAACCAATAACGCCTCCACTGAGGCCCGAACTCATAATCTTCCAAATGGAAGTCCAACCCAGATACCATTAGACCACATAGTCCTGGTCAAATCTTCTGTATTTAAATACACTTCAATACTGCAAAAAATTTCAGAAATGTGAGGTTAGGTTTGGAATAATTTGAAATATTAGAGCCATGAGAGATGGAGAGAGATCTAGAAAATGTCTTTTCAGTAAAAAACGAAAAGATTTTTTTGTTAAAATATTTTTTTTAATTCACCATAATTAGTATTTTCATTGACTTTATTTATCTTGAATAATTAAACACTATAATAATTCTTGAAAATCATTTTACAAATTCCTAAAAAAAATCTTAAATTCGTCTATACATACGAATTAATTAAAATATTTAAACAATTAGTATTAAACAAAAATTGAAATAAAGAGATTCATTCAACCCAATCCCTAGACAATGAGAGGATTGAAGAGAACATCCTGAATCACCCATTAAAAAAAGGTGCAAAATCACTACTAACTAAAGACCAAAGTAGAGTCTTTAAGAGGGATCCATTGTCTTATTTTTGACTACTTGCTTTTAGATAATTATATTATATATTTATGTATTGAAGAATACAATAATGTTGTCAAAGTGAAACCACTTTATCAACATTCAAGAGTTTTAATCACGTGCCACCACGTTCCATTTGTATTAGAGCAAATCCATTACTATTGATTTTTTCACAAATTTTTAGGAGCCAAGTAGGGAGAAAGAAGGGTGAGGAACAAAAGAAAAAAAAAAGAATTGTCAAACAAAGTAAATAAAAAAAAATGCTTTAGTTAACGCGCCCGCGTGTGCAGTTGGGTGAGCTTTGTGCATAACACGCACAGGTAATGATTTTTTTTTTATATTATATTCTCTTCCTAGGTCTCACAAAAGATCATATCTTAGCTTGCAAATTAATTTTAATCACTCTACTCTCTCCTCTCTCCTCTCTTTCATGTCATCTTCTCTCTCATCCAAGCAAGCATAATAACAAAGAAAAAAAACCCTAATGGGATTGCTCTTAGGCTATCCTTATTCCTGCAATACTCCTTCACTTTAAAAAAATGGGTCACACTTCCACATCATCAAATTTGCAATTCTTTCACTATATTCACAATTACAAAATTTTATGTTCATAATTTTCAGTGTTCATATTCCCAATTGTTGAACTCTGTATTCACAAATCACTGAACTATATGTTCATAATTTGATAACTATACACTTTAGAAATTATGATTTATAGTATAGAAATTATGAATCTATAGTATAACAATTATGAATCTATAGTATAGAAATTATGAATTTATAGTTTAGAAATTATGAATCTATAGTATAGAAATTATGAATTTATAGTATAGAAATTATGGATTTATAGTATAAAAATTATGGATTCAATTCCGTGTGCACCTTGCATGGTGCATACAATTGCACAGCATAACGCTCCCCCCCCCCCCCCCCCCCCCCCCCCTTGCTCTTTACTTGGGTTGTGGATTCTAGGGCCCTGGATCATGGACTCTTCTTGGACCACTTGGGTCATCTTCTTGAGCCTCAGACTTTGAACTCTCGGAGCCTAAATCTATATTCTTAAGTCATTTCCAATATCTTTGTAAACACAAAAAAATCAAAATTGTATATATATAAAATCGGGTTACAGTGTGTATAATTTAAAATGCGGTTACAAAATCTCTGTGTAGTCTTCTGATTCTTCAGTAAACACTTCAAAGGCTTTGCTAAAGGGCCTCCGAAATTCAAGTGGCGTAAGGGCCTCTGGGTTCAAATGGCTTGATCTTCAGCTAGAGATGTCAACTTCAAAATTAATGTCAAGATAGAACTCTACAGAGCTTCAATTCAATGTCTTCAACTTTTCAAGTGTCTTCAATGTCTTCAAGATGTGATTTAAAGAATGAAGTGGAAGTCAGTTAGTCACATGGGTGAAGTTTGGGAAGAATTAATGACCAGAGATCAAGTCTCACCAGCGGCAGTGTGGGAGCAACCTCTTAAAGTGAGAGATAAACAAACGTCTAGCCTCTGTGTTCAGCTGAGTTACCATAATTTACATCCTCATAAATACTCTATTGGGCTGGAGTTGGAAATTCAACATTTTAGGGAGGAGAATGAAGTGGAAGCTCTATTTATAGTGGAACTTGTAACTTCCATCCCTCAACAAACTCTCATTCTTACCATAATGAAGTATAGGTTTAAGATTGTATTATATTTGAATTTAATTATAAATATTAAATTTAAATATAATATAACTAAATAATTTGACTAAATCTTTATCAAATAATTAAATTAATTTAAATAACATAGCCTAAATTAATTTAATTAATTGATGTATAGACTTGAATAACTAAATTAAAATGTAGTCAAATTATGTCAAAATTTTCATGTCTACTATCTCCATCAATACCCATCCTGCAATATTTGCTCAATAACCAACGGAAACCTCTCCACAATCCATAAGCCCCTATAATGGCATAGGGAAACATTGGTACAATATGAATATATGATAGTCTATTTTGCTCCGACAGACATGATCTACATGAACTAACCATTCTTTTCTGAGGAGGCCCTAACTGTAAGAGACACATTTAAGTCCGTATCATATTCAAATTAAATCACATTCGCACCGGTCCGGCCTAATTAAGGGACAAAGTGCTGACCAGATTGATTTTTCTATACGAGAGGGGGTTTGAGCTCCCAACCTCTCTAAGGGATAAGAGTACACAGTCACTCACGCTAACCAAGCTGGTTCAGATGGTACTTTATTAATTAATGATATAAATTATTTTCATTATAAAAATTACTAATACTTCTGTCATATCGCAAGTTAAATGTATTGGTAATTGATTGAAATACCTACACATTTCTGTATTTACCTATAAATTTTTTCTCAATAAATTTAATTTTTCTTATAATACTATTTTCATTCATATTAACTCTTCTTTAAACCTTATTTCTTTAACAAATTTGTTTGTTTGTTTTTTTTTTTTTTTTTTTTTTTTTTTTTTTTTTTTTTTTTTTTTTTTTGTAATGTTCAAATTCAATCACTTATCGCCTGTGAATTCCAATACAATGATATTCAAGTTATAATTATTTATCTATTTTCAATCATATTAACTCTTTTTAAATGTCAATGACTTTGTGGTCTAGTGACATGAATCTATGCTTCAATAGGTTTGAGATTTGAGAAAATAGATATGAAAAATACTACATTGTAACAGACTTAGTAGTACTAAAAAAAAAAAAAAAACTATTTTTAAACATTATTTCTTTAACAAATGTGTGTGTTTTTTTGTTTTGTTTTTGTTTTTTTTGAAATTTTCAAATTTGATCACTCATCACCTTTGTATTCCAATACAATAAGATTTGAGTTATAATTATTTTGTTATAACTTTCTAGGGTGTCGATTACTACCAAAATTAAGAATATCAAGTATAGTTATAACATAACTTTGATTAAATCCTTAGTGCAAGCATTCTACAAACTTTCTCCCTCTACGTTAGGGTTCTCTCTCGTTTTTTCTCCCGTAACTAGGGTTTTGTATGCGTAGCAGGCTACGGCGGAGGTCGCGCATGATCGGCAAGCTTCACGTCTTGTGAACAGCAGGCGTCTAGACGACGGGCATGGCAGCAACGGAGGCGGAGATAGCGGGGCTATCGAGCAGATGGGCCGAAATCGAGTTAGAAGACGAGGACGCCGGTGTTGAGGCGCCGGCGGTCGACAGTGGCGCAGCGGCGGCAGCGGAATCTTGGGTGGTGGTTGGCCGGTTTCTGACTCAACGGTTAATCAAGGTTGAGTACATGCGACAGGTTATGGCCTCGGCATGGAAACCGGTAAGTGGTGTGCATATCACGGAGCTCCAACCGAATCTGTTTCAATTTGTTTTCCATCACATAACGGATGTCCGGAGGGTTATGGATGAGGGACCGTGGTCCTTCGAGAATTGTACGCTGCTCTGTAGGGAGGTGAGGAATGGTCAATTGCCGGAGGATATGGTGCTTGATACAGTGGATTTATGGGTGCAGGTGTACAACCTGCCGGTTGGTTATAATACGGTGCCGGTACTTGAACAGACAGGGAATTTTCTGGGAAAATTCTTAAAGATTGATGAGAGGCAGATGAAGGGGCCACCCAAAACTTTCTACCGAATTAGGGTTTGTATGTCTGTGGATAAGCCCCTGAAGAGGAGGATGAAATTGATTCGCCGGGACAAGACTTGGGGGTGGGTGAATTTCAAATATGAGAGACTACATACTTTTTGCTTTTTCTATGGACTTTTGAGGCACTCGGAAAAGTTCTGCTTGAAAGCTAGAAACTCGACGTTGACTGCTGAACAATATCCTTATGGGGTGTGGATGCGAGCTGGGCAGGCAAGAGGACCACGGCCAGTCGGTGAATCATGGCTACTAACCGAGGATGAGCCACCGATCCGCCTGGAACCTGTGAGGGTGGCGCCGGAAAAACCGGTAGGGGTACAGGGCCGTGAGGAGGAGGAGGAGGAGGGAGTAACGGCATTGGCTAAGCGTCGCAGGCAGGATAGTAGACAGCTGGCAGATACGGATACTAGTATGACAGATAGCTCAAAAAACTTGCATCAGGCGGGCTCTGGTTCCCAGACCCGCCCACAACAATGAGTACTCTGAGTTGGAACTGTCGTGGCTTGGGCAATCCGCGGACAGTTCGTGCAGTTGTGGACATGGTGTCCAAGAAGAAGCCGGATTTTGTATTTTTGATGGAAACGAAAGTAGCACGAATACATGCAGAACGAGTTCGCGTTAAAATTGGTTACGAGGGTCTGTTTTATGTTAATAATACAGGCCGCAGTGGTGGATTGGCATTACTTTGGAGGAAGAACAATACTGCAAGATTACTGGGTTACTCGAAGACACACATTGATGTGGAGGTGAGTATAAGTGGTTTTCCAAACTGGAGAATGACTTGTTACTATGGCTATCCAGAACGAACATGGAGGACTGAGTCATGGGATCTATTGAAACAGTTGGCAACACAATCTGAGCTACCCTGGGTTGTGATTGGCGACTTTAATGATCTCTTGTACCAGTATGAGAAGAGGGGAGGAAATCCACACCTGAACAGTCTGTTATGTGGCTTTGGAGAGACTATGGATCAGTGTGGTTTGGCACAGTTACCAATGAGTGGTAATCAGTTCACATGGCAAACGGGCAAAGGCATTCCTGGATGGATTCAGGAAAAATTGGATAAGGTACTGGTCACTAACCGCTGGAGGGATATTGTGAATGGGGCCACAGTTGCAAATCAATGGACTAGACGGTCTGACCACTCAGCTATCTTCATGGGGATTCGGCAATATGGGGGTGGGAGGGCTGGGGGCCGAAGGTTTCGTTTTGAGATGGCGTGGCTCTATGATGAGGGATGTAGAGCGGTAGTGGCTGAGTCATGGGAGGAGGGAAGAGATAGGGGAGCACAAGGCTGTATTGCACACTGTGGGAACCGGTTAACCCGATGGGGGGGGGGGGGGGGACCGGTACCATAAGTTCAGGGAAAAGATTGAGCAGCTCCGGAGGAGGCAGGATCAACTCAAGGGATGTATTGATCATGCATCCCTGGAGGAGTATAACCGATTGGAAGCGGATCTATGCCGAGTGGAGATGCAGGAGGATGCATACCGGAAGCAGAGAGCCAAACAGCACTGGCTCAAGGATGCGGATGCCAACACGAAGTTTTATCACAGGTATGCCTCGAACCGAAGGAATAAGAATACTCTAGTTAAAATTATGAATGATAGTGGTGAATGGATGGAAGGGGATGATATGGCGGGTGTAGTTCTGGATTATTTTAAACGCATTTTTACAACTAATAATCCTGTAAGCGGTGATCTGATCTATAACAATGTTACGCCACGAGTCACTCGGGCACAGAATGAGGTATTAATGCGACCCTTTGAGGTTGGTGAGGTGAAAGATGCTCTGTTTGAAATGTATCCCGATAAGGCGCCAGGGCCGGATGGGATGAACCCGGGCTTTTATCAAAGTTTTTGGGATATTGTAGGAGGGGATATCTCGGCTTTTGTTGTAGACTGTCTGAATACAAACTCATTGCCACCAGGTTTGAATAATACCGATGTTGTATTAATTCCTAAGAAAGATGTCCCTGAACAGGTCACTGATTTGAGACCAATAGCGCTTAGTAATGTCATTTATAGAATTATGGCCAAAATGATAACCCGGAGGATGAAACCCCTAATGGATAGTATTATATCTGAATCCCAGAGTGCTTTTATACCAGGCAGGTTGATAACGGATAATATTTTGATTGCCTCAGAGGTAGGCCATTATTTGAACAGGAAACAGTGTGGTGTGGTTGGTTGGGGTGCCTTAAAATTAGATATGGCAAAAGCTTATGATCGGATGGAATGGCCATTTTTAAAAGGCATGATGATGGCACTCGGGTTTAATGACAAGTGGATTGAACTTATTATGACGTGTGTTACGAAGGTGTCCTATAATTTCCTGGTAAATGGGACACGGAGTGACTCACTAATACCAACCAGGGGTTTAAGACAGGGGGATCCATTATCGTCCTACCTGTTTATAATCTGTGCTGAAGGTCTCTCTATGTTATTACAACAGGCACAAGAAAGGAGTTTAATACATGGATGCAAAGTAGCAAGGGGTGCTCCGCCTATCTCCCATCTCTTCTTTGCTGATGATAGCTTATTATTTTTTAAAGCAACTGTGCAGGAGGCAAATGAAATTAAAGGATGTCTGGCTCTATATGAAAGTATGTCTGGGCAAGCTGTTAATTACCATAAATCCAGTATATGCTACAGTAAGAATACAACAGAGGAGATCAAGGAAAATGTGGCACAAGTTTTGGGTGTGGTTCAGGCTCCTAACTTTGGAAAGTACCTTGGATTGCCATCATTCATTGGAAGGAATAAGAAAGCTGCATTTGCTTATATAGAGGACAAAATCAGACAGAGAATAGGATATTGGAACAAGAAACTATTATCGCAGGCAGGAAAAGAAATCTTATTGAAAAGTGTGGCTCAGGCTATGCCTACCTTCTCAATGAGTGTTTTCTTGTTACCTACTAATATCTTTATGGCTATTGAGCGGTTGATGAATAGATATTGGTGGGGCTCAGGGACTGACTAGAAAATCCATTGGAAAGCCTGGGATAAGTTATGTATACCCAAGAAGTATGGTGGATTGGGTTTTAAAGACCTAAGAGCGTTCAATGTGGCACTGTTGGGAAAGCAAGCTTGGAGGCTATTGACCAATACAGACTCTTTGGTTTCTAAAGTTTATAAGGCCAGATATTATCCTAACCAGTCTTTTACTGATGCAATTCTAGGAAACAATCCAAGTCACTGTTGGCGGAGCATTATGACGGCGAAGAGTTTAATTTGCAGTGGGGTGAGAAGACGAATTGGGAACGGAGATTCTACCTTTGTGTGGGGACACCCGTGGTTGCAAGATAAAGATGACCCCATGATCCAGACAGAAATGCCACCTCAACTGAGTAATGCCAGAGTAATCAACTTAATTAACCAAGATACAGGCACTTGGGATTATGGTTTACTTACGGATATTTTTGAGCCTGGTGATGTGAGTAGGATTCTAAAAATACCAGTATCCCCAAGCTATGATGACATGTGGTATTGGCATGGAAACCCCAAAGGCAATTACACGGTTAAACATGGATATAGGTGTATGGTGGGAAATTATGAAAATATTGCAAATGTGGGATTTGCAAAGTGGCTCACATTGTGGAAACAGAAAATACCACCAAAATGGAAAACCTTGCTATGGAGGGCTTTGAGTGATATTCTTCCTACTACCCAAAACTTGCTTATAAGGAGGGTGGAGATTGATCCGGTGTGTGCCATGTGTGGAGTTGTAAATGAAGATATTATGCATACATTGGTTTCGTGTGACTATACGAAGACCATTTGGGCACTATCTAACCTTCCATCTACAAATATTGTGACAAATATTTTTTATGAATGGTTTAGTGAAATGTTAAATGTTCTAGATTCTGATGGTATTGCCTACGCAGCTGCAATTATTTATCATGTATGGAGAGCTCGGAATGGTGCGGTTTGGGATGCATGTTTGCCCAGACCACGACGAGTGCTCGCCGCGGCCCAGGCCGAAGTTACGGCATGGCGTCATGCCCATGCACCAAGAACGGACCCGAGTCCCGTGATGCCAGCCACGGCAGTGCAGCCCACTGCCCGCAGAACCGAAACCGGAACAGCCCAGCATGCCGCACCCAGTCACACTCCGACGCAGCCACCACCATCCAAGTGCTATGTCGATGCTGGATATCGACACACGGACAACACAGCAACGGTTGGAGTGGTAATACTGGGACCGGGTGGTCAATTTATCTCAGCATACTCCGCACCTTTACCACATTGTTTTTCACCACTCATGGCGGAGGCTTATGCTTTTAAGGAGGTTCTTTCTTGGCTACGCGAGCGTGGAGAGCAAAATATGGAGCTTTATACAGATTGCCAGGTACTGCAGACTTACTTAACGACACCACAGCTGCTGACAAGATCGTATGTTGGCTACGCAATTGATGGATGCAAGAATCATTTATCTACTTTTAATTATTGTTATGTTAACTTCATACCTAGATCGCAGAATATTTTAGCACATAGTTTAGCTACTACAGCTTTCTAGTATGACACAGCTATGTATTGGGATACTATCCCACCGGACGCTATTTCAGCTTATCTATGAATACAACCCATTGGTTGACCTTCAAAAAAAAGTATAGTTATAACATAGTCAATAATATTTATGGGTACCATGATTATTATAATCTAGAACACCATTGCATGAGTGGCAAATTATATCGTGCACCAAGGTGCACAATGTATTATGCGCCTTAAGAGTTTATGTGTATTACGTTAAAAGTTTATGTATATTATGTTAAAAGTTCATTTGTATTATGTATTATGTTATTTATGTATATTCTACTATATAATTATGTACATATAAAATATGGGATTTTTAAAACGCACAATGTATTGTGCGCTCTGGTGCACGATATAAGCATATAACAATTGTGCAATTTGTGCATGAGTTAGTAGGGCTTTATGTTCAAAGAGGCCCAATCAATTAAATACAGTGTGCTGGTGCCCTGCTGGTTCATGACACCAAAAGTTGAAAGAATTCTATCTTGTGTATGCGTGAGATTTGTGTTCTTTGGGGTAAGAGATTTGTGTTCTTTATGTAAATTGTTCAATGAATACACACAAGTTTTGGTTAATCATCAGGGAAGGAGCAATCCACTGGATTTTTTTTTTTTTTTTTTTTTGAGAGGGCAATCCACAGAATTTTTACTATTCTGATTTGGACTGTTTTATCAAATTATGATTAGAATTAATTACATTGAATTTGTTAGCATTAGTCAAAAGATATAACTATTATCATCACATTGTTCGAGACAGAAATGTGGTCTTGACTTTTAAGGACTTTATCGACATCCGCCCAATAATTCCCGTCATTGGTACTAGACATAGCTCCTTTACCGGTCATGGCCAATAGAATTGATATAGATTATAGTACTAATCTATAGAAATAATTATATTCCATGTGTGATAAAAATATACAAATAAATTTAAAAAATGAGAAAGGAATGTAATTAAAGTGTTGAGTGAATAAGTGAATACATAACAAGTTCTGATCAATTATCAGGGAATAGTTCTTCCTTGAGCGAAGGAGCAATCCACTGGATTTGAATATACGTCATTTCCCAAAGATCATCATCTTCCTTCTGCACAAGAATCTCTTTCTCTTTCATGGTGGACACCATTTTCTTGAGCAATTCCGGGATGTTATCCTGCAATCTGGACTCCCCATACTCTCCCAGATCAGCCTTCATACAAGTATCCATCCTCCTCAAAACCCCCATCCAAAACCCCCTGAAATCTGGGCTCTCAGAGATCAGCTTCAAGTACTGCAGATAAACTCCCGTCAGCATCTCCATGGACAGCTTCAGAGTCCCCTCCATCCCGCGCGTCTCCCTCTCCGCGTTCTCCCGCTTCGAGTACTCCAGCATCTTCTCGTGCAGGTCGTCCACCATGGCGAAGATCACGAGCTTGAAGCAGTTGACGATGTTGGAGGGCGTGAACCCCAGCTCCTCCGCCAGGGCGAAGCTCTTCTGCAGGGAGATCACGGCGTGGTTCCTGATCTCTTCTCTTCTTGACAAGCTCGTCTTCCTGAACGCCTCCCCTAGCTTCACGAAACACGACACCGTGAAATTGGGAGACGTGAGCGCTTTGTTTTCCTCCGACGAGGAGGACGCGGCGCCGGGATCGCTGTACCCACTTTTGAACCAGTTCACCAGTAAAGTAACGGTGTTGGACATCAAATCCATGATTTTTATGTTCTTCTCCAGTGGGCTGTTCTTGAGGGCGACAAACCCGAAAGCAGTTTCAATGCAGAAAGGGTAATTTAATCTGGAAATGTGAGCGCCGTCGGACATTAGGTTGATCACGGCCTCCACTTTCTGCTCGTACATGTCGGGGTGGCGCCCCGTGATGGACAACAAATGTAGGACTGTTTTCCATCCTAGAATGGTTTGCAGATTCGCAGGATACTCATTCAGGATTATGGTTACTGAGTGTACTATGAACTCAGAACATGTGTCAAGGATTTCCTTTTCGATTTTCCACATCAGATTTATGGACTTGAAGATGAGTTCCTCGGGGGCTCTGTCAGCGTGGAATGAAGATAGGAGTTTGAGACAGATCTTCATGAGAGAAACAATGGCTTTTTCTGCAAATGGGATGGGAGAGAAGAGAGGATACTGGGCAACATCTAGGAGGTATTCATGGTAGTAAGGCCAAAATGAAGGGAGTCTATGAATGTTGGATGAAGCAACGGCGACAATCAAATCCCAGCAAAACCCCACAGTTTCTTCCTCTTCAATTGCAGTACTGAATTTCTGGCCTTTCCCTGCTGCAGAATATATAAGTGAACGCCCCAGATTCTGGACAGTATCTTCCGGGAGAGATGAACTGGAGTTGAAGATGCTTCCTATGCGGCACTGGCTGATGATCTTTAAGTTGTTCTCGAATTCGCTAACCCCCATGTTTAGAGAATCTTCCACATTATCCATTGACAAGAACTGTGAAAATCTCCCAGCTACCCCGCAGGGGTGGCGCTTACGCCCGAATTTGAAGTCCTGGGTGGTGGTTGAAAGAGACGATGAAGCAGACCTTTCATGGCGGCCGCCACGATCAGAGGGCGAAACCTCGGGCTCAAACATGGATTGTGGGAGAAGTTTTAGCTTCTTGAGCTTCAATAGGCAGTCCACGATCGTCCTCCATCCTCCTCTGATGAAGTTCTTGAAGTTATTGGCTATGGTGAAAACCGCGAGAGTGGCCATCCTGGGCTTCATGTCGTTGCTGAAAGCGTATAGTGTTTCTTCTGCAGACGCGTAAGGGTTTAAGAGTGTGGTGAATTTGCAGAAAGTACAGACGAGCTCATCCAGGGTGTCGTCTAGGCCATACTGACATATTCTGGCAATGGAGAATAGTGCTTCTATGCATTCATGGAGGACTTCTTCTTCATCCGCCTGTTCAAAGATGGCTGCCAAGGTAGCAACTGAAGGGCCTGCAATGGAAGCGAACAGATCCCTGCCCAGACGGCGATCGAAATCGCACATTATGTAGGGATTCATATGCTTGGATCGGTTGATTAGCTGAATCCATTGATTCGGGTTCATTTCTTGAGGAGCTGCAGCAGAATCAAAGAGGATTGCATTTGCAGAAATGGACTGGAAAAGCTCAAAGAGGTACTCCCTGGGGAGATCTTGACCGGCATTGATTGCTCTGTTATTTCTAATGAACTCATCTTCTGTCATCTTCTTCTTCACCTGGGGATTATGCTGATCAGTGTTGAGCATGATGACAGAATAACACAGGATAAAAACCGCATCTTTACTGTAAAATATTTCCGAGGATTGTTGCTCGTAGAATCTCTCAGCAAATGCTTCAAGAACCCTCTGAATCTTCTGGGATTCTCCGGGCAGCCTGAAAGATTCCAGGTAAGTTCTGAGGGCATTGTCCAGTACCATTCCAGTGTACTCAAACGTGTCAGTGAACTCTTTGAGGACTTTAAGGTGGAAATCATCAGGATCTCCAAGGTAATCTCCAATGGCGGTTTTGTCCAGCTTTGGTGTGTATCTAAAGAACATAGCATAAGCTTTGGGATCAGAAGTTGAGACCAAACCTGAGTGTTTCAAATACTCCATCCCCTTCTTCTCGTCCCGATTGAAATGGTCACCAGCAATCAAGATCTTCCTTTTCTGTGCCTTCCTCACCCTAACAAAATCAATCCAAGAATCCAAATCTTCATTATCCTCTCTCACCCTCTCCTCCCAGAAAGGTCTATACTCAGAAATCTCGACGGGATAGGGGCCGGAAGGGGTGGTGTCGCCTTCCCTGTCGATGTTTTCTGCGATGTTGTGGATGATGGTTGATAGGCCTTCGAAGGATTGGAGCTGCAAACTGGTGAGAGATCCACCTGAAGGGTATGCGTGCCTGCACAGCAGCTTTCCTGCGTCCTCAAAAATACTCCGAAAACTGGGATCGCAGTCGTAGTTCACGTAGGCTTCCACCACGAATGTGGGCTGCCGGCAGAAGTTTATCAGCCCTTCCACCGCCACTTCTTGCCGTGCCAATGTGTTGGTTGCACCCGCCACTTTGAATAACACAAATGAGAAGAACGCTTCCAGTTGAAGCCGAACCGACCTGGAAATAGGGACAATTCAAGTAACCATAATGTTACAAGTTTAACTTTTAACCTGGATAGTCTATAGGTCTTTTTAGTTATGACTGGTCAGCTATTAACAATTTAAATTGATTTATAGTGTGTTCCTTTGCTGACTACTAGCCAAAGCAGCCTATTAATCTTCTTGATTTGATCAGATCAGCTATGAATAACTTAAGCTTATGTACTTTCCTTTGCTATTTAGGGTTACAGTACTCCACAAAAAATTACAGTTTGACTCCCCATCGGAGCAGTCTATTGACATTTTTGACTTGAGAATGTCAGTTATGGACAATCAAGCTCGGCTGTTGGATTATTTCATTATGATCATTTGTCGATTAAGGTCACAAGACAGGACAGATTTGCCTCACAGCCAAGTTGGTCATTCACATAATTTCCCGTAGAGTTCATTCTCAAAATGGTCCTTCGACTATGACTTTTTCTTAAATTGATTCTTTGACTTTTAATTGCACCCAAAGTGGTCCTCCGACTATTAAATTTTAAGCAAAAATGGTCCTCTGTTAGATTTGATGTTAAGTGGGTGTTAAGATGAAAGGTAAAAATGACATTTTATATTGTTTGTTCTTTAGAGCTATGATCTCGATTACTTCCCCAAATTAGTGAAAAGATTTTCTCCAAATTAAAGAATATAAACCTAGCTAATTGTGATTTTCCCCTTCTTCCCCCCGATTCCCATAATAGGAAAATTCCAACCAAATTGATGAGTAACTGTTTGATTACAACTTAGACTCACTATAGGTTAGTTATACTGTATATATACATCCTTAGATAGTAGTTGCAGGTTTTGTTATATATACATAGAGTGAAAGAAAGAAAAAATTGTAGGGTGAATATGAGGTTAAATTATTACCTGCGAAGGAAGTGATAGATGTTCAAGACAGTGCTGCAAATCATGGATAAAACGAGGGGCCTGGAGCAGGAGCCGTAGTGAATGAGGTGGTGGAAGAGGTCGTCCTGGATCATCCTCAACAGCTTGGGGTGCATGCCGATGCTGTCGCCGCTCAACTCGATGGCCGAGTTGATCAAAACCAGGGAGAAAAGCTGAATGCTCTCATCGGCGGTTTGGTACGTCACCCCCTCGGATTCCACCACTTCCACCACGTTCAACAACGAGCACAGGAAATGGAAGATGTCAACCGCCGCCCGGATCCCGTAGCCGGAATCGTCCAGCCCGCTGTCCTCCGTGTCCGACTCCGAATTCTCCCAGTCCGTCACCTCCACCTCCGGCAGCCGCGAGTACACTATGTGGACCAGCTCGTGCATTGTGAATCTCGCGCTGCGTTGCAGCAAATCGCCGCGGTTCGCCGATTGCTGCACCACCTGGAAGCACGAGTTCACGACGGTGCAAACCGCCTGGTCCGTCAGCCAAATCGACGCCGGGTGCGCCATGATCGCCGTCAACACCTACCCAAAATGTGACTTTCATTCATTGAGTACAGTGCTTATAAATTGATTGAAAAAGATAATTTTATAACCAATTAAATGATGTCACAGATGAATTGAAAGGATATCTAGCATTACTCAATAAGAAACATAGAAAAATGTAGAATCTCTTGTCCCTTAAGAGAGGTCAGGAGTTCTGGTCAGTATTTTGTCTTTTAATTAGACCAGTCCAAATCAAACAAAGATTAATCTGAGTACGATGCAGTTTAAATGTGCACAGTTAGGGTCTTAGAACACCTTGTAGTCTGACAAAAGAAAAAAAAAATGTAGAATTTTGATATGTGTGTATAAGGATTTGTAGTCGTACAAAGATCTCTTAGACCTGCAATATCTTCATCATAACAGCGTCTTCGGAGGTGGGGTCGGTCTTCTCGAGGCGGCAGCTGGTGATGGCGGCGACGGAGGCGTTTATGGCCTCCCTGGCGCCGGGGGTTTTGTGGTCAAAGATTTGGAGCTTGAGGATCTTGAAGATGGAGGAGAGCGCCAGGCCGGTGGCGGCGGCGGGGATCTCGCCGTGCTGGATGACATCAAGAAACGGCAAGAGGTAGAGCGAGGGGTCGAGGTAGCGCCATTCTTGCTGGGGATTGAAGATGAGAGCTCGGAGGGATTTCAGGGACTGGGAGATCGGGGTGTCGTAGCATTCCTCCGTCGCGAAGTAGTGGTTCCCGTCGGAGGATCGCCGGAGCACGGCCAGAACCACGCCCACCTCCGTGTTTAGCATGCATGAGATTCCCAGCTCTTTTCTCCTTAGTCTCGTCATGCTTCAATTCCTCGTACGTAAGGCTTCACACTTTGGAAGTGAAAAAACAAGTTTATTTGTTATGTTCCAAAATCGGTTGATGTCAGATTCAGTCGGTGTGTGGGAATGACGGTTTCACCCCTGCCTGAGGGCCACAAATTTAATTGTGAACAAAGGAATTAGTATTAGATTGGAGGGTACAAATGGAATTAAAATTTAAGTTAAAGTCTTTAATTTAATTAGAGACACCAGTTAGCCCCCAAGTTATAGCCGAAAACAATGGGAAATCATGTTGTTATGGAAATATTCAACTCTAATTTTAACCATACAAAAACCTATTTCTAATAAGTACACAAAAGCTATAAACCTTCTAACATAAGGCAAATGTGGCTCTGTGTTTCTTTACTCTGACTTGACCCAAATCAGAGTGGATCCCATCCAAAAAAATTATTATTTTTTGATTGAAATTCTAGCATTAGTTGGCCAGAAAATACGATATGACTAAATGTGATACAAATTATAAATCAGACACCTAATTTGAAAATATTAATAGTCATATAATATAATCACTCGAGAGATCTACTTCATGCCAATAAAAAAACAGCTTTTGTCTAACATGGAATCTGAACACTGCAATGGATACTAAACATATTATTACATCAAAATCCCCTGTCCTGTCCTGTCATAGGTTTGGTTGTTCTTAGGAGATGGATTGTCACAGCCACGGAGAGTTATAGACAGGAGTGGCAATAGTCTTCACTTGAAGATACTTAGAAAGGCTTTCCATTCCCATTTCTCTATCGAATCCACTCATTTTGTAGCCACCCAATGGGGCATCTGAGTCGAACGCAAAATAGCAATTGATCCATATGACGCCCGATTTCACTGACCGCGACACCGTGTTGGCAATGTTCAAGTTGTTCGTCATGATCCCGGCTGCTAATCCGTACTTTGACGAATTCGCCCTCTCGATCACCTCCTCCACGCTCCTGCATTTCACCCGAGATTCGTGTCATTATATATAAACTCATTTCTTTCTCACTAAAAAGGCATAAAAATTGCACTAGTCTTACTTGAACTTCAGTATAGACATAACAGGTCCAAAAATTTCTTCCTTGGCAATGATCATGTCATCCTGCACAAGACCGGTCAGGTCAGGATTATACCTTTTTAGTTGAGACAGAACACATCGTTTAATTTGATAACAGAATCGGAATTCGTGTGGGGATTATATTCACCGTGACATCTGCGAATATGGTGGGCTCGATGAAGTATCCTTTCCTATCCAATGGCTTCCCACCGGCTAACAAGGTTGCGCCTTCCCTCTTGCCATGTTCAATGTATGACAGTACCCTCTCGTACTGCATTTTGCTAACCTGCGACGAGTGGATTATATTAATGGAGTTTAAGGAAATTAAACTGTGCTAGCTAACTGCTAAGATAGAGATGATAGGGTTTTTAATTTCGAGTTAATTGAATTCATGTATGTATATACTTGGGGTCCCTGCTGAACATTTGGATCAAAAGGATCTCCAACCACTTTGGCTTTTGCTTTCTCCGCCACTTTCTCCACAAATTTATCATAAATCCCCTCCTGGACAAACACACGAGAGCCCGCCACGCATATCTCGCCCTGGAAGTGTTAAAAACACGAAAAATCGGTTGGATTCAATCTTTCAGTACAGTGTTTGTTTGAGTGTTTGACTCGATTCAAATTAGTTATCTTTTTTTTTTAAGGTTACGTTTAGGGTTTACCTTGTTAAATGTGGAAGCTGCTAGAGCAAGACCAGCAATTTGATCAACATCCACATCGTCGAAAACTATGAAAGGCGACTTCCCACCGAGCTCCAATGAGACAGGTTTTAAGTTGCTAGCAGCTGCAGCCTGCATGATCAAGCGCCCTACTTCTGTCGACCCTGTAAAAGAAACCTGCAGAAAAAAAAAAAAAAAAAAACAAGAAAATTAACCTTGTTAGTTTTTAGCAGGTGTACGATGTTGTTTTATACTACATTTGTTAATCAATCTTACCTTATCAATGTCCATGTGAGAGCTAATAGCAGCGCCAGCCGTGCGCCCAAACCCTGTCACAATGTTCAGCACTCCATCAGGGACCCCTGCCTGTTACAAAACAATATAATCAACCCATTATATTCAACATAATAAATGTGCAGTTTAATTATCGGCTTAAAATTTTTGCTTACGAGTTTAGAAAGATGAGCATAAAACAGGGCGGACAGATTGGTCTGTTCAGCTGGCTTGACAATCATGGTACAACCAGCGGCCAGTGCAGGAGCAACCTTAAGCGAGAACATCTGAGCGGGAAAATTCCAAGGAATTATGTGTCCGACCACACCTATTGGTTCGAGCAATGTGTAACCTTGGAAGCCGCGCGACATCTTCAGTGTCGTGCCGTGGATTTTGTCAGCGGCGCCCGCGTAGTACCGGATATCCCTCGCCGCCGATGGGACATCTATGTACTTCCCTTCGGTGAACAGCTTCCCAGCCTCAAGTGCATCCAGGGCTGCTATTTCATCCACATTTTCCTCAATTAAGTTCGCTAATTTCAGCATTATCCTTTGTCTCTCCTGGTGATTAGTCCAACAATATAATCAAATGTTTATTATTGCAAATGTGAATCATAATTAAATGGAATTGTGAACGATATTAATCATTGTTCTTTACACGAGATAAAACAGAAATGTGTAATCTAATTATCAATATGTCATTTAATTTAGTGTCAAAGTCACGTTCTGACAAGACATGACTTATGATTTTATGCTACTACCTAACTAGTTGTGACCAATAAATAACTGGATGGGTGGCAGTGATGACTAGCCTTCCATGGAAGAAAGAAACCTAACCCAGTCTATGCAATTAAGGATATGGGGGCCATCACATTCATAATAGCAAGATGATGATTGCCCAGTTTGGTCACTACACCATAAAAGTTCCTTGTGTAACAAGCTAGATATATCAGGTATTCAAACTTCAAATGTACATGCATTTCTGGGTAAATCCCGTCTTGTGATCTTAATCAGCAAAGGATCAGATAAGCCAGTCTATGTTGCCAAAAACCATATTAAATCAAGATGGTCAATAGGTCACTTCCACTAGAAGTCGAGCTTATAACCTTGTCGTTCTCGCTAAAAGTCAAATTTACAGTATTATGATTACGAAATCAACAATCTGACTAATTTAGCTGGACTGTCCTCTATACTTTTGAATGGCTGCTAAGTTCAATCTAGTCTAGAATGTTTAAAACTAAGAAGCAAAAAACCTCAGTGCCATGTTTGAATAGGTAAAATTGATTGGTGTGGCTTTGTTTGGAAAGAAGGAAGCTGCCTATAGATTCATCATTGACTAATACTTTAATTGGAGATTTAAAAAAAAAAAAAAAATTAACAGTAAATCAATTAATAAAAAGGAATATGAAAAAAATAATAATTAAAAGATTAAATTTCTTGCCATTTTTATTTATTACTTTTCCTTCTCTTCTCTTTCTTTTAAGAAATTAAAATTTTTTAAACTTATTTTATATTTCCTCTATATTCCACCATACAAACTCAGCGAGCAGTACGTCTTCATCAGAGTAGTTAATGCTCGACTAAATCACTAATTTCCAAAAGGTTATTTTCTTCCACAAAAAGTGGTACGAATTCCATATAAGAAAACAACTTTTATGTAGCTCTTTCTATTATTATTATTATTAGTAGAGGAAATTTCAATTTTAGTCCTATGAACTTTTAGGGGTCCTGTTAATTTCAGACTCTGACTTTTAAAAGTGTCAATTTAGTATCTTAACTATATAATTTTTGTCAATTTTGGCCACTCTGGCCAAATTGTCGGTCAAATTTTAATAGTTAATATAATAAGAGTATTTTGATCATTTCATGTCTCTTTTCTTCTTCGCAGGCGAGTCCATTCCCAGACTCAAGAAGGAAATAAATAACAAATTTCTTATGTGATTTCAAATTCTCTCGTACATTCCTGAACACAAACACTTTTCACCACCACTAATTGGTCAAAGTTCCTTAATGACTTCTCACATTTTCAGTTGGATTTGAGCCATCATTCTACTATTAGAAGCGAGACTTTATTGATGAATTGTATAATTAGAGTGGTCAATTTAAAATCAATCAATTTAAATGATGCATTTGAAAAGAAAATTGTGGCTCAAAAGACGTTTCGTATTACAATTTTCTCGACCGCTATGCGTATGAAACAGGAAAACTATTACATCATTAACAACAATACAACTATTCTAAAGATATGCTAAAAAGAAAGGAATCTTTTTTTGGAAAAAAAGGGGCAACTTTTGGACCCCAAAACATCGTTTCAATTATATGGATAAATAAAAGACCAAATTTGAATTTTCAAAAAAAAAAAAAAAACACAAATTTGATGTTGTATATAACTCTATTTTTGGTGAGGATGAAAACAAATCACGGTCACTACTCGATGAGTCGATGATGTATACAAAGTAAATTTTACTAATGTGTAATAATTAATAAATCACACATTAGAGGTAAATTGTACAAGAAAAATTCGATGTCACGAATATGATCGATAAAGTGTTTTAAAAAATTAAATTTGTATTTAATTTAAGACAGTATTATTTTCAAATGTCACAAACTTGAACAACATGCAAACAACGACAGAAACATAAACAATTGATAAGGTTAATTAATTTTTCATTACTAGCCAATCCACTTAAGATGTTGGCATTAACAATTAAAAACTTAAATTGAATAATAATAAGATGTAATTTAATAACTATATTATATAATGTATAAATGGTTGAAATAAAGATTAATTAGTGCTATGAAACCGGGTCTCATTATCAATGTGTCTTTATAACATTTAGATCTTAGCAATCTTACTAGTCAAACAATTATACCTTATTTCCTTCTTTAATTTTATTTATGTTTGTATTTCTAATTGCCTTGGTCGGCCAAACGTTAATCACACACCAACGGTCCAACACATATCACGTTCTTCCTAGTTCCTAGTATGCAGTAAAAGAGTTCAATTTGAATTTTGTTTTCAAATGAATGCAACACATGTACACTAATTTTAGATTTAATATAATATATCCCGTCAAAGTAGTTGGACAATTCATTTGGTAATTTCAAGATTTTAAATTTGATTCTATATGGAGACTTTCTTAAATTTAACTGATCAGCTATGAGATACTTAAACTAGTTACCTCATTGTAGTCCTTTATAAGTTAGAGTTATGATGTGAATTTTTCTGTAAATCGGAGGTTTAATAGTTATATACAAATGGCCCGTTTGGTTCACGGAATAGTCCAGGAATAGCATAGCATTCCCAGTAATAGGCCTATTACTAGGGCCCCTGGTATTAGCATATTACTGAACGCTCAGCAATAGAGTTTAGAATCTATTTTCTTTTTTACCCATTTATTTAACCTAATTTTTTTTATCTTATATATAAATTTATCCTATTTCACCACCGTCATTGCCACCACCACCATCACCGCCGCCGCCGCCGCCACCACCACCACCATCGTCGCCGCCGCCACCACCACCATCGCCACAACCGTCTCCGCCCCCACCATTACCACCGCCGCCACCACCACTACCACCCCAGCACCAGCACCACCACCGCCATCGCTACTACCATCGTCGTCGTCGCCGCCACCACCACCACCGCCACCAGAATCACCACCCAGCAGCACCACCGCCACAACCACCACCGCCGCCGCCACAACAGTCACCGCCCCCACCACCACTGCCACAACCGTCATCGTCAACCATCACTGTCACCACCACCACCGTCGCCCCCACCACTGCCACCGCCACCACAACCACTACCACCACCGTCGCCACCACCACCACCACCACCGCCACCATCACATATTTTTATAAAGGTATTTATGCCTTTTAAAACATATTTCATTTCTATTCCTTAAATCAACCAAACACTGTAATATAATTCATAAAGTCTATTCCTTCTGCGAACCAAACAATAAAATACAATTCCTATTTTATTCCTTGCCTATTCCATTCCTTATGGAATAGCATTCCTATTACTTCAAAATTCATTCCGTGAACCAAACGTGCTGTAAGTTTTTCCGTATCAATTTTCTCATTTTTTAAAAAAATTTAAGATTTAAAAGATAAATTTATATTTCATTAACGATAGACGTCGGAATTACGTAAGTTCTTTAGAATGAGTTTGAAAGAGTCAAAAAAAAAAAAAAAAAGGAATTGATAACGGAAGGCATTTATCAGAGGATATTAATTTAACTTTTAACCTTTAAAAATTACAAAAAAAAAAAAGAGAAAAAATTAATAATTGTTCACTTGTTCAGGGTGCATAAAATCATCTAATGTGAAACGAGTATTATTTTCCATCGAAAATATAATACTTTTTTTTTATATATAAATAAATAAGTATTCAATTTTCACTAATACTTTTCCGAGAACAGGTGATACTTTCAATAAAAATGTAATGTGTTTGACTCATAAAAAAATTATAATATTTAAGTATTCCATATTTAATATGTACACAAGATTTTGGGAATAAGTAATTAATAACCAACATGCAACTATGATCGAAGTCAAAATAACTATGTAAATTAAAATTAAACATAAAAAAGTCAAAAATTAAAATTGCAATTTAATTGTATATGGTCAAAAAAGGGAAAAGAAGGACATACTGCTCCGGAAAGACGAGGCCAGGGGCCATGGTCAAAGGCTTCACGGGCTGCCTTAACGGCCAAGTCAACGTCTTCTTTGTCCCCTTCCGCCACTCTCGCGATTACCTCGCCGGTACTCGGATCTACGGTCTCGAATGTCCGGCCTGCAATTTTTTTCATTTATTTAATCAAATTAATATAATTATATCATTTTTATATTTATGGACCTATGCTACGTACTTACGTAGTACGTACCCCAATATTTTCATTTTTATTTAAAAACTTAATTAAATACACATTATTAAACATTAAATTTTTAATTTACATAAAAGTCTGTCATTGTTTTACGAGATTATGCGGTAAATAAGGCTCAATTTGTGATTTTAGTTGGGCAGGGGCAGAACAGTAAACTCAACAGATAAAGCACGATTCAACAGGAAGAAGGGGCTAAATTTTGCAAATTTTGGCAACCTTAAACCTTATTAGCTTGTCTGCAGTGATGTTTTGATCGGTTCAATAATCATCAAAGTTTCAACAGCATCGTACTCTTCGAAACTGTTGAACTTTCCGAAATCATAATTTTGATTTTTAAAAAATTGCGATTAAGAAGAAACTGCAGGAAGGAGGAATCGAGCGATGATGAAAATCTGAAACAGAAAAACAAAAACCTGAAACAGAGTCGACAAAATCTCCATTGATGAAGAGCTTGGTGAACTTAATCTTAGGAATCTTCACACGATGTTCTGCATCTCCATTGGACTGAGCCGGTGCCATCTCTCTTTCTCTCTCTCTCTCTCTGAAAATGTGTTTTTTTTTTTTTTTTTTCTGCAATGGCTACTTGAAGGCTACTGGTAGCACATGCAACCCGGGTTATAAATAGCCTCAGCCCGAGTTGGAATTTCTGAAATCTAAAGCAGTCTCCGTCAACAAAATTTTTTATTTTTATTTTTGCTATTTAATGCAATAATTTTATTTTTTTCTTTTATTTATATAAAACCAATAATAAAGGGCGGCAAAAATTAACCATAATTTGACGTAAATCCAAGGCTGGGTTTTGACTTCTGTGGATACAGTGACAACAAAATATAACGTGCGGATATTACTATAATCGTAGACGGTGGCCTTGTGGCAGTTGTGGGCACGGATATTACTATAATCCATATAGATATTAATTACCTACATTTAAATAAAAATTTACGATTAATGTTATTACACTTCTTTTTTAATAATAATAATAATAATAATAATAATAATAATAATAATAATAATAATAATAATAATAATAATAATAACAACAACAGTAATCACAAGTAATGTGCCAATGGACAATTGTTCACTTTTGGTGCGGTACGTTGATGGTCCACGCCATTTATTATATTATTATATATAAAAACCCATCTACTTATTATATTTATTTCACAAAATAAATCAATATTCACGTTATGTGGTACGGTGAATAACTGAATATTATGTACTGATTTAAAAAAAAAAAAAACAATTGAATACGGAGTAACAATTTTTACAGTTAAAATTTTATTTTAATATATAACAGATGACATGCCATGCACACTTGCTATACATGTCACCTCATCATCACACATGACCAGATTTAGAGTGGGGCTAGTTGCCCCCTCCTCCACCCCACCTCACATATATAGAGGTCCGTGTGTCTGTATATATATATATACTAGTCGAGGACACGCGCTTTGCGCGAAACGTCATGCCCAACAAAATCAATTATTATGTTCTAATTTTTTATTTTTTATTTTTAAAATGAGTATGTTCTAATTTTTAAATAATAATATATATAATTTTTAATAATTGTTATATGACAAAATAAATAAGAATACATAAATAAGTTATTTAGATACCAATTAATATGATATACAATAATTGAATTAGGAACATGCGGGAGGACATTAGATTTGATTTTGAGGGGGAGGATGAGAACTGATTGTATTATATTTTCTGAACTTGATTACAATGAGATCAGATGATGTGAATATATACAATAGAGAGTCACAGTGTGATAAGGATAAGAAGTAGAGAGTCACAGTGTGACAATGATAAGAAGTTCTAAACAGACTCAGATACATAGAGTCCTAATACTCCCCCTCAAGCACAGTGTATACTAGTAACCTGTAGCTTGTCCCTTAGGGAAGAAAATCTAGGTCCATGCAGAGCTTTGGTGAAGATATCAGCAAGTTGATCCTTTGTGGAGATGAAGTTGACTTGAATATCGCCTGAAGCTACTCGATCATGAACAAAATGATAATTAATCTCCACATGCTTGGTGCGCGCATGAAAGATTGGGTTGGCACTCATATATGTAGCTCCTAGATTATCACACCATAATTTTGGAATGGAAATACCCGGAATCTGTATCTCACGCAGTAATGACATAATCCATAGAACTTCAGCACAAACATCTGCAAGAGCCTTGTATTCAGCCTCAGTGGATGACCTAGCAACAGTTCTCTGTTTCTTGCAAACCCAGGATATAAGATTACTCCCCAAGAAAACAGCAAAACCACTCGTGGATTTTCGATCCTCAGGACAACCAGCCCAATCAGAATCAGAGAAGGCATGAATGTCTCTAGATGAGCATCGTCGTATGCGCAAACCATGATCAACTGTTCCCTTAACATACCTGAGTACCCGTTTGAGCTGCTCCCAGTGTGACATGGTGGGAGCATGCATATGTTGGCATAACTGATTAACTGCAAAGGATAGGTCAGGTCGTGTGACAGTGAGATATTGCAGTGCTCCAGCTAGACTCCTGTACTGTGTGGGATCATCATATAGATCTGAATTGAAGGGGACAATTTTTGAGATAGAGATAGGTGTAGAAAGGGGTTTGCATTCAGACATTCCAGCCCGTTTTAAAATATCATTCATATACCGTTGTTGAGATAAAATAATCTCATTGTCACTCTTAACTGTTTCAATACCCAGAAAGAAATTTGGTTCACCAAGATCTCTGATTTTGAATGTAGCCGACAGTTTGGACAAGAGCTGAGACATAATACCCTGATCACTTCCCATTACAAGAATGTCATCCACATACACCAATAGATAAACCAAAGTAGAGTCTTTAGAGTAATAGAACAGAGAGACATTTGTCTTGGATGCTTGAAAGCCAACTGATAGTAAGAACGTATGTAGTCGATTAAACTAGGCTCTGTGAGCTTGTTTTAACCCATACAGAGATCTTTTTAACAAACAAACATGATTCGGGAAGTTAGCATCAATATAACCAGGGGGTTGCTTCATATAAACTGTTTCAGCCAGATTACCATTCAGAAAAGCATTATGAACATCTAGCTGTTTGATAGACCTCCCAGATTATAAAGCTAGAGATAGAAGGAGTCTTACAGTCGTAGGCTTTACCACTGGACTAAATGTGTCAAAGAAGTCCTGGCCTGGAACCTGATTAAAACCTTTCGCAACCAGTCTGGTTTTATGCCTTTCAATAGTACCATCAGCCTTTCTCTTCGTACGAAACACCCATTTACAGCCAATAATATTTGATGCGATCCTGGTTGGCCCGATCTTCTCTTCACACTCAAATTTTAAAGAACATCATAGAATGGTTTATTCGGCTAGATGAATTTGTTTTGAAAGGTTTAATTTTAGGTTGGGTAAGGGTTGTTTTTGTGGTTTTTGAATTGATTCTCGCCCCACGCCCGGTTATAGAGCGATATGAGAATGATTTGACGCCACAAGTGGGGTTTCACACTTGATAAGTCAGGAATGTCATGAATCACCGAACTCATCCTAAGTTCTAGAAAACCATCTCAGTTTTCATTCTCAAAAATTCACCACGAATCTATTTTATTCATAACTTGTGTCTCTATTTATAGTTGTAGAGTTTTAGTAATTCAGGACTATAATCCCAAGATAACTAAAATCTCAACAAACTACAAATAGATAAATACAAAATAAATCTTTAACAAACTAAGATAAATGCAAATGATAAATGATAAAATAAGTGTAACAAACTAAATCTAAAATAATTATCCTAATTAATTTAATTATTCTAACTAAATAATAAAACTAATCATAAAATACTTTAACGTTAAATTGTTGCTTCTTGTGGTCGCAACATTCCCTCCCTCTTTAGAGGGATTCGTCCTCGAATCCATGTTCCAGGCACCGTCAAAGCTTCATGAGTCTTTGTGATGAGACAACCGTGTGCTCTGATACCAAATGATGCGATCCTGGTTGGCCCGATCTTCTCTTCACACTCAAATTTTAAAGAACATCATAGAATGGTTTATTCGGCTAGGTGAATTTGTTTTGAAAGGTTTAATTTTAGGTTGGGTAAGGGTTGTTTTTGTGGTTTTTGAATTGATTCTCGCCCCACGCCCGGTTATAGAGCGATATGAGAATGATTTGACGCCACAAGTGGGGTTTCACACTTGATAAGTCAGGAATGTCATGAATCACTCATGACCGAACTCATCCTGAGTTCTAGAAAACCACCTTAGTTTTCATTCTCAAAAATTCATCACGAATCTATTTTATTCATAACTTGTGTCTCTATTTATAGTTGTAGAGTTTTAGTAATTCAGGATTATAATCCCAAGATAACTAAAATCTCAACAAACTACAAATAGATAAATACAAAATAAATCTTTAACAAACTAAGATAAATGCAAATGATAAATGATAAAATAAGTGTAACAAACTAAATCTAAAATAATTATCCTAATTAATTTAATTATTCTAACTAAATAATAAAACTAATCATAAAATACTTTAACATTAAATTGTTGCTTCTTGTGGTCGCAACAATATTCATACCTGCAGTGGGTGGAACTAGAGACCATGTGTGGTTATGCAGGAGAGCATTGAATTCTTGGTCCATGGCTTCACGCCGCTCAGGATATTTGACAGCTTGAGAGTGACATGTGGGTTCCGTGGGATGCACCTGAGCTGCTAGAGCAAAAAGAGGAGCATCTGCGTTACTGCGAGTGGCCATAGAGTGAGTACGGACATTGGGCCTGGTGGACTGCCCACGTGGACGGCCTCGGTAGCGAGCAACGGGCTCCAAACCGGATCACCCGACGAGGCAGCCTGTCCGGGATCCACGGCTGGTTCGAATGAAACTCGTAGCGGCGGATCTGGTGGCTCATCATTGGACACGACAGGAATAGGTGTGCTATGACTGAGAACAGATTCCGCCCAAGGTCCAGAAAACGGAGTAGATAGATCCTGCAAAGAAGTTTTAGTAGCAAAGGGGAAAACTTCTTCATCAAATCTGACATGCCTGCATGTGTAAATCTTATTAGTATGTAAGTCCATGCATCTGTACCCCCCTAAAGGACTCAGAATAACATAGGAAGACACATGGAGAAGACCTGTATGACATCTTATGACGATTATATGGTCGAAGATGAGGATAGCATAAACACCCAAAGACACGAAGAAAAAGATAGGAAGGAGGGGATTTATGTAACAAGAGATGAGGACTGGAGTTATTTAATACAGAAGATGGCATTCTGTTAATTAAATAGACAGCAGTCTCAAAGGCAAAATCCCAAAATTTCAAAGGAACAGAGGCATGAGCTAGAAGAGCCAGACCAGTTTCAACAATGTGGCGATGTTTCCGTTCAACACGACCATTCTGTTCATGTGTATAGGCACAGGATTGTCTATGTTGAATTCCTAATTGAACAAACGAAGAATGCAACTTTTTGTACTCAGCACCTAAATTAGACTGAATGGCTTTTATTTTGCAATTAAAGGACCGTTCAACAAGAGTACGAAATTAATCAAAGATGACATAAAGATCAGACTTTAATTTCATAGGGAAGAACCATGTATAACGGGAATAGTCATCCACAAAGATCACAAAATAACGGAAGCCAGAAGTAGATAAAGTGGGCGCATGACCCCAAATTTCTGTGTAAATAAGATCTAGGACTTGAGAACTAGAGGAAGCAACACGAGGGAGGGGAAAACGGACAGATTTGCCTAATTGACACGCATTGCATAAAGAATTATGACAACGAATATTATCACGAGACCCACTAACTAAACAAGAACGAAGTATATGGCTAAAAACACGGTTATGAGGATGACCCAGACGATTGTGCCAAGTGGAAGCCGAGGCACGAGCGGAAAGAAACGCTGACCGAGACGAACTAGGTAATGAAAGTGTGTATAGTCCCCCCAAACTATTGCCCCGTAGAAGTATTTCCTTGGTATTGATATCCTTCACAACAAAAAAGGAGGGGTGAAACTCAAAAAAGACTTTATTATCGGATGCAAACTTCTGAACAGATAATAAAGAAGTAGACAAACGTGGAACGTGAAGTATATGGGACAATGTAAATGATCTAGAAGGGGTAATAAAAGAGGCATGGCCAACATGACTAATAGATAAACCCATACCGTCACCGACACGTAAAGTGTCATTACCAGTGTATTTCTCCGATGCAGACAGGGCAGCAATGTTTGGAGTTGCATGATTTGTGGCTCCAGTGTCCGGAACCCAAGTATGATAATTTGACGAAGTTTTAGCAACTAAACCATTCTGAAACACCAAATTAGCCTGAGAACCCGGAGCCCCTGAATATCGCCGAAAACAGTTGACTCCCGTGTGACCGAAACTTTTACAAATTTGACACGGATCATTATAGCGCGAAAAACAATTGGATCCCGTGTGACTAAAACGTTTACAAATTTGACATGGATCATCATAGCGCCAAAAACAATTGACTCCCGTGTGACCAAAACGTTTACAAATTTGACACGGATCATCATAGCCCCAAAAACAATTGACTCCTGTGTGGCCGAAACCTTTACAGATTTGACACGGATCATCGAAGCCACGTTGCTGACCTCCACGGTAATTAAGGTTGCCACCGCAGCGCTGCATCTTCTTGATTTTATGAATCACAAAACCCTAGCTAACTGATACCAGATGAGAACTAATTGTATTATATTTTCTGAACTTGATTACAATGAGATCAGATGATGTGAATATATACAATAGAGAGTCACAGTGTGATAAGGATAAGAAGTAGGGAGTCACAGTGTGACGAGGATAAGAAGTTCTAAACAGACTCAGATACATAGAGTCCTAATAGGGAGAATGAAGATGTTAGCTAGAATAATGTAGTGGTTTTTTTTTTTAAAAAAAAAATGTTTAAAAAAAACGAATGGAGTGTTGGAATGATGGAGAAAAAAGAATACAAAGATCACATCAAGACAAAGAGGAAGAAGACAAAAAAGTAATGGTAAAGTTGTTATTTCTTTAAAAATTGAGGGCAATTAAAATGAAAAAATAAATCAAAAATTAGATCAAAAAATTTCATTCATTAAATTTGAAATCAATGATAAGCAATGGGTGCCATTTTTGAGGGGCAAATGGCAACTCCCAAATATATATATATATATATATATATATATATATATATATATATATATATATATATATATATATATATATATGTGTGTGTGTGTGTGTGTGTGTGTGTGTGTGTGGGGGGGGGGGGGGGGGGGGGGGGGTTCAGATGCGGGTGATACTTCCGGTGCGGTTGCGCGGTTGGACGCACCTTAAGCATTAACATGACGCATATTTAAGTACAGATGCAACTCACGCACCTTAAGCACACAAACAAAGCACCTTAAGAACATAAATCACTCATATTAAGTACACAAATCACGCACATTAAGCACATAACAAAGCACTTTAAGAACGCACATTAGGTTGTCTTCCGTCGATGGCCGGAAGGACTAAATCGACTAAAAATAATTGTTTTCGGGGACTAAATTGACGACCGAATGGACTAAATCGACTAAAAATAATTGTATTCGAGAACCAAATCGATGAATAAGCTATTGAGGGACTACATTGACAATTCGCTAATAATTGAGAGACCAAATCGTTCATTAGGTCTTAAAAATATATTCATTCCTGGAAAAGGGGAATTAAAAAAATAAATAAATAAACTTTAGAATCCCACAAACACTTTAATGTCGTTAAAAACCCTGTCCATTTTGGTTCACACTAAACAACTCCTTCCGCAGAGATTCCATTGTCCCAAATTGTAGTCTTCCTGATTTTTTTTTTTATTATTTTTTATTTTTTTTTATGGTGAATGCTATATTTTTAATCTCACAGTTTTTTTGATATTATCATATTTAATCTTTAATATTAAATTTAATCACACTTAATTTCATGAATTTACTAACATTATTACTTTGGTCACCTGTTGCATTTTTATCTATTTAACATTAAATTGATCTCTCCTAATAATTTAGGAGAAAATTACACTTTTGGTCCTATGATTATAGGGGAGGTGGTAATTTCAGTTCGTGAATTTTAAAACTAACAAATTTAGTCCTTTTAGTATGTTTTTTTGGCAGATTTGGTCCTTCCGGCAAAATCACAGGCCAAAAGTCACCGGAAAAATGTAAATCATTTTTTATTATTTAACTATGAGGACAAATTGGTCATTTCCAAGTCATTTCTTCTTCTTTCTCTTCCTCCTTGCCAAACATCTCCGCCCGAGAAAGCTTAGCATTTCATCTTCTCATCGCCCTCACCCTCGCTTGTAACATTCATAGAACTGCTCTCTTCTGCTGTCCTGACTGCATGATCTGAGAATGGAGCAGTACCGAGTAGCTCGAGTTGAAGGAAACAGCTCGATTCCACTGATAAAGAGCGTATCCTTCTGAAAAGAATTGATGGAATCACGCGCTCGTTTGTCACCTTTAAGCTCCTAGAAGGTTTCAATTCAACTTCCTTGCCAAAACTGTGATCATATAGCCTGGAATACCTGTCTAATGACTCATTCAGGGAAGTACTTCTTCTGTGAAGAAATGAAGATTTTCGATCATCATTCTTGCCCTCAATCTCTGCCACTTGATTATCTTCTTTGATAGGCAAGTTCACTATAGTGTCATCTTCCTTCTGTTCTGTTGTTTTACATCGAAAATCAAGGGTCGAGGCTCGATTCAGAGTCCTGTTATCCTCTTCATCACCCATGAGACCAAAGCTATCTAAGAGATCCTTTGCATTCTTTGGGATAGCTTTTTCGGGTTCTGGTTAACCTAGGATGTTCTGGTTTTAGTCTGAATTCATGAAAAAACAAAAGAATTTGCATATATTTACCTGCAAATATGTTTCTTCATCCTCCAAAAGTCTCTGTGCTTTTCCAGTATCATTGTGAATCGATTTGGTCTTGTCTGCAGAACTCCAAGTTGTTCCAGGATTAAAAATCATAAACAATAAACAGTTGATTAATTGGGTATTTGAGAGCTGAGATGCTTACTCTTATCATTTATCACTCTGGGCAGAAGCTTCTTCCTGACATTATTATAGTGCTAGTGATGGTAGTCCAGAGCACATATGAATCGCTTCCACATGCACCCAGCTGGATTATACCTTTCCCCATCTCCGTCTTCCTCGTCAACGCGTCTCATCCATGAACTCATTCTTCCCATATTCCCAGATTTCTGGTAAAAACAAGAAACCAAATACTAAGCTTTCTCCGGCGGAGATGTTTGGCAAGGAGGAAGAGAAAGAAGAAGAAATGACTTAGAAATGACCAATTTGTCCTCATAATTAAATAATAAAAAATGATTTACATTTTTCCGGTGACTTTTGGCCTGTGATTTGGCCAGAAGGACCAAATCTGCTAAAAAAAACATACTAAAAGGACTAAATTTGTTAGTTTTAAAAGTCATGAACTGAAATTACCACCTCCCCTATAGTCATAGGACCAAAAGTGTAATTTTCTCATAATTTAGTAATTTCACAAGCAAAAAAGGTTCATATAACATATATTAAATGACATAACTAGCACCAATTTTTTTGAGAAAATGATCAAATATGCCCTTAAACATTTCGCTAAAAGTCAATTAGCACCATGAATTTTTAAAAAGTTCAATTGAACACATGAACACACGATTTTTGGTCAGTTGACACCATTAGCCGATAACTTCTGAGGTAAAAGTCGGCAATTGCCCTCGTGACGCGCCACATAAGCGTTAGAGTGGGTACTTGGCTGCCACATAAGCATAAATAAAAAAAAAAAACTTAAATTAAAGAAATAAAAAAAAAAAGATTTAAAATTATGATTCAGCCGAATCCACTGGCCTCATGGCCCTTGGAGAAAAACCGAGCTCCAACGATTTTCCTATTACAAATTTGAGCGGTGAACTTCACTCCCGTTTCGCAAACCCCCTTCCAACGGCTAAGAACGGGCCCGAGATTCAGATCAGAAAAGCTCCGCCTTCCGGGCAAGCTCCGGTATTGAACACTCCAATTATGACATCAGAGCCATAATCAGAGTCGGACCTGTGGACCTCACTGGTTCGTGACGCCGTGAAATTGAGGGGACCTGTTGGTATGAAGCTGCCTGCGCGAGGATGGAGGGATGAATTCTTCTTATTTTAAATTTTCTTTAATTTAATTTTTTTTATTTTTTTTATTTATGCTTATGTGGCAGCCAAGTATCCACTCCAATGCTTATGTGGCGCGCCACGAGGGCAATTACCGGCTAATGGGATCAACTGACCAAAAATCGTGTATTCATGTGTTTAATTGATTTTTTTTAAAAGTTCGTGGTGCTAATTGACTTTTAGCAAAAATGTTTAGGGGTCTTTTTGACCATTTTCTCCTCATTTTTTTTCTCATAAAAAGTCAACCGAATTATTACTTATTATTGTCTCGTTTATAAGCACTTTTAATAAGAAAATGATGTTAAGATAAATAGCTATGCCTATTTGGTAAATAGGTGTTAGCTGTTAGCTGATTGAGTTAATTAGAGGGTATAACTAGTTTATAATATTAGCTGATTGTAGAAAGATGTTTGGTAAATTATCTGTTAGCTGATAACTGTTTGATATAATTTCTTTAAAAAAAAAAACTAATTGAAAAAGTTGTTTTAAGCCGCTTTTTAAATTTTAGCATTTTAGAGTTACAAAAAAAAACTAATTAACCAAGCATTTATATTCTCCCCTTTCCCTTAAAGTGCAGCCTCCTGTAGATAGATGTCCCATAGAGCCCCCCTCCTCCCCGGAGTCGGGAACGCTCGGGTCGAAGTTGTCACTCCGTTCTAAGGAGGAACAAAGAAGAGTGGGGAACCTCTCGCTAGTTTTACTTTTTTAACAAATAACAAAGTCAAATAATTAATAGTAGTCAAATAAGCCAAAATTGACTGATAGGCTAACTATTTTACCAAACAGGGCTAAGGTCAATAATGAAGGCACTTTTTACAGCATGTTCTTCGTGAATCTAATACTTGTGCATATTGGATGATAGATTTTTCCCATTCTTTGCATCTTGGCCTTTATGTGTTTGACGACAATTATTATTGTATGGACCATGGTCTATACAAGTTGTGTGAATTATATTTTGTAGTGTAAAATAATGTACATTCAATACAAAAATAATGTACATTGTATTTAAGAAATGTATATTATTTTTGTACTAAGTTTACTTTATATTATATAATGTACATTCAATATACAGATAATATACATTTAGTATATTAAAAATGTATTTTTTGTTATGATCTACAAAGCACTCTGTGAACCAATAATTTGACTTTTGACGATCCCTCATATACTATTTGATCACTCCTCACACCCGATAAAGTGAACGTTGTATAACCTAAATTTATGTAATTCTTTTTGTTTTTGTCTTTTCTGTTATATCGAGAAAATAAATAAAATTATTGAATTCTTCAAATGCTGACATTAATCAAGTGGAATTATAAAAAGGGCTAATTGTAACAATATTTATAAAATTATAAAATTAAGTGACTAAATTTAAAATTAAATATAACAAGTGACAATAGTGCAATTTTCCCAAAGTATTAGTTGTTTTAAGTTGATTGGAGTGTTAGTCAACATCATTTTGCGGTGATGAGTTCATCATCCCAATTCAATGACAAGCGGCTGCTACTTTTTTTTTTTGTTTTGTTTTTTTTTTTTTTTGTTTTTTTGTTTTTTAAAATCTTTTATAATTTACATTTCCTAAATTCATTGTATTTTATAATTTCTTTTAGTGTTTGACTTATGGGGGCCTATTAATTGGCTTAGAGCAACTTCAATGGCGGTAAATTCTAGCGCCATCCCATCATTTTGTCAAATTTTGATTCTCCGATGTGCAGCGCCATTACACCATCTCGCCATTTTTTTATCGATAATGAATAGTGCCGCGCCATATATGGCGCGACACTGTTCATCTGCGCAAAATATAAAAATGAGGAAAACTTACTATTTTGCCCTTGTGTTTTTTTTTTTTTTTTTGATAATTCTAAATATATCTTTTAATTGTTTTATATGTAATTTCTTGTTTTGTTAAATACTTATATTTAAAGTTTGTATTATTAAATATAAATTATATCATTTGAAAGATCTCATTGAGACGATCGAAACAAGACTAATATTGAATATATATTAATTAAAATTTTAAATACATTAAACATAACTAGAACATAATAATAATAATTAAATTTTATGCTATATTATTATTGTGAAATAAATTAAATTTTCAAAAATATTGTTAAATTCAATTTTTTAAATAATTAATGTTATAAAAAATTAATGTTAATAAAAATTATTATTTACATAACAAGTTATATTTTATATTAAACTAATTAAGTTCGAACTAAGTTATATTAAACTAATTAAGTTCGAACTAAGTTATATTAAACTAATTAAATTCGAAGTAATAATTGAGAAATCAAATTATTTTAGTGTAGAAATTTGGTGTTTTGGTGTTAATGGGTTAGAGATTGAATAAAATTTGGTGTGAGAATATTCTTTTTGATGTGACATTTAGGGGAAAAATTTAGTGTTTAGGTGTGAATTGGGTTGGAGATGCTCTAAAATAGAGAGAGAAAATAGGGCTTTCTATTTCATTTTGACTATTGGTCAATGGTCAAATATTTAGTAGGCTATAATAATAATAATATATAAAATAAAATATACAAACTCAAACTTGTTGTTAACCTGATAAAAATGCTAATTACACTTTTTTCTGAGTTCATAGATGAATTTGAAACTTATTCAAGTTCGATGGTTTAACCTGTTAAAAATACTAATTACACTTTTTCCAGACTTGTATAGTCTAATTTACAGCATTAAAAAAATTTCAATCTTTTTTATTTTTTAAAATAAAGACGGGAAATTCCAAAAAATCAAAGGTAGCTACCGAGGACCCCGCTAGATCTTCCTGAAGGATCGGTTGAGCTTCATTAGGAGGTTGTCGAAATCTAGTCATTGTTGCCCACATTTTATAGCCAACTTGGTCAGTTCAACAATGATAGGAGGAGATCATTCACATCAATAACGGCTCAGATCTCACCGCATATTTTATCTGAGAGATTCTTCGCACGTGAACCATCCCATATATATATATATATATATATATATATATATATATATATATATATATATATATATATATATATATAAAATTTGAGAGGACAAAAGAGAAAAGAAACTTAACAATATTTATTACTTCTCATATATTAAAATGCGTGGTAGTACAATCTATTTATAGTAAAAGGAAATAACAAACTATAGCTAAAAATTAAATACTAAGAAGCACTAACCCACTAACACCTACAACTAACCATTACCCTACTAACAATAATATTAACAACCCACTAACTTGGTTTAATTATAATAGTAATATTATTATAACACTGTCTTTCTCAAACCAAGTTAAAAAAATTGATCATTCCAATTTCAGCGCTAGCTAATTGCCCAAAAATGAAGCAATCAACAACTTGGTGAATCTGTTACAAAGTCAATTGATCTCGTCGTATAGTGATTGCATTAGCTCCATCTAGTAGACCAGGGTCAACAAAACTCCAAAAGTTTTGAACATTCAAAAAATGTGTAGTCATCATAATTTGCCAATTGTAATTAAGTTTCTCATACAATTTAGGACCCGACCATACAATATTGAAATTCGTTAATATATCTCACTATGGAAAATTCGTTGACATACAATATTGAAAAGCATTGATAGTAAATGTTAAATATATTAAATATAATATATTTATATATATATAACTTGAGAGGAAAAAAGAGAAAGGAAACTTAAAAATATTTATTACTTCTCATATATTAAAATGTATTGTACTACAATCTAGCTATTTATAGGCTCTGCTTGGCAGAGCTTATTTAGGAGTTTATAGCTTATTTTAAGCTACTAATAAGCTATAAGCTCTGTTTGGTAATGTTCCCAAAATAAGCTCCTAGCTTAAAACAAGAGCTTATTTTGGAACGCTACCTTAGGTAGCGTTTCAAAATAAGCTCCTAGCTTCCTAACTTTTTTCTATCTTTATCCTTATTATTTTAAAGAAATGACATAATTTACCCTTCCCAATTAAAACCCTTTTCTCTTCCCCTTTATCTGCAACTTTCACTGTAATTATTATTATTATTATTATTATTATTATTATTATTATTATTATTATTATTATTATTATTATTATTATTATTATT